ACAGCAGCTCTATGCTATGTTTGCTGAATGATGCCACATGCCAGCTGAATGATTCAACACGGAAATCTCAGTGATGCATTTGAAGTGAAGACAGGTTGACAGGTAAGACAGACAAGGTTGCCACCTACTATCACCGATGATCTTCGTGATTGTGGTCGATTGGACTGGATGATGCAGCAAACCGTGAGGAGCAAGAAGATGAGCGTACGCTGTTTGACTGATGAAAGACCCCAGAAGAAGATTTGGATTTCGCCTCCGATGATTATTTATGTCTGATATCTTGTGGCACAAACTCGAAGATCTACGAGCGAAAAGTAACAAGTTAACAGAAGATGTGGGGCTGCGAAGGCGAGACTTCTTTCAGGTGAACGTAGAGAAAATGGAGGTGATGAGGATATCAGCCAGCAACAACAAGAAGCACCAATCACCATCAACAGGAGAAATCTGGAGGAAGTAGTTTCTCTTACCTACCTAGGCAAGGCAGCATCGTTTCAACTGCAGGTGGCGACACCGGCACAGATGAGGACGTCAAAGCCAGAATCAGAAAAGCAAGACAGGTTTTCAATAACTTGAAATTAATGTGGAGATCTACTGCACTGCACTGCACCACAGTCAGCATAGAGCGTGAACAAGATCCCGATTTTGAACACTAATGTCAGTCAAGTCAGTGCTTTTATGTGATGGTTGAGAGACCTGGCGCGTTGCGGAAAACATTTCGGACAAGCTACAGACGTACGGCAACAACCGTCGCCTACGCTCACTGGATACTGAAGATGGAGATCAAATGGTCAGAATCATAGAAATAAGCAACAAGGAACTCTGGCTGGCTGGCTGACGACGAACCAACGAACCAAGAACCCGCCACCCAACAAATATACCGAAAAAATTGGAGCTGGACTGGGCCTACATTGAGAAGACTGTTTGGGGATATCACGCGCCAAGTCTTCAAGTGGAATCCAAATGGGAAACGACGAGTTGGGCGTCCCAGCTGAAGATGTTATGGAGGAAGAAATGAAGGGTTACGGGAAATCTTGGAGCCAGGTCAAAATGGGTACAGAGAAGAGAGTGCAATGGTGACGTGCTACTGAAGTCCTATGCTGTGCTAGGAACTCAAGGGTCAAATAAAATAGTCGGTACTTACAAGCTGGGTAGGAGGCTGATTCAGCATGCACCAGAGGTCATCTGCTTAAGTGTGGTTGATTTAGAGTTACGTAACAGTAACACAGCCTTCGCCTACGTGGGTTTCCTGCCACGAATGACACTGACTGAACAGGAAACAGAGGATTTTTAACCACTTATCCTCTTCAGAAGTAACTTCCCACACTGTGGGCGGATATAGGAGGCAACCAAATAAGATTTACTTTTTCAAGGTATCAGAAGTTTGTTAGACCTTAAATACAGTTTATCTCAGTCAAACAAACGAATTAAATGTCAGAAGGTGCAACTTCGTACGCAAATTTGTTGCGGGTTACAAATACTTTAGGACCAGCAGTAATTCAATGACTACCATCAACGACATCTGAGGCAAGTAGAACTGAAAGTGATCCAGCCGTGAAACAACAAGAGGAAACTCAAGTATTGAAGTTAAACTGAAATAAGCAGCGGTGCGGTTATGGCGAGCCTTTAACAGTTAGCAGGAATACAGAGCAGAGTACTGACAAGAATTAAGTAGTGCTACTACATAATATTACGCAGCAAAACTTAAATGCATGCAGAGGGTGTGGGAGGAGAAATGCAGTCAAAAATCGGAGGCTTTCGAAGTGTAATAGAGGGCCCAAGAAAACCAAACCCAATAGTGTGGGCTCTGTGGAGAGATGTTACGTAAACCTACGAAAAAAAAGACTGAAATACATCAAACTGGGTGGCAAGTATTATCTAGCGCATTTTCAACAAATACATAGATAACTTGGTGAAGAGAAACTCAATTCACATAAATTGGGTTTTCGACCAACACAATTCAGAACGTAAAAAATACTCAATGATTTACTGTCATCGCATTTTATGCGAAACAGACTGAGAATTTAATCGTCTATGACGACAAACGTGGCCTAGTTTGGTATCCAGCGCATTTTACAATACCTATATAGATGTACGAACTGAAGTGAACTGTCGGAAAATGCTGTGTGTGAGAGGTTCTATTTTGAGGTTTAGTCAGCCGTAAATATGGTGATCTCTAAGCAAATGAGCACAACCCTTTGGGGAGGAGCTTAAGAAAAATCAGCAACTGAACTGGAAACTGCCACTCAATCCACACAAAGAAATGCAACTACATTTGAGTCATTTAAGTTTCTTTGGTATCCTTCTCAAACATCCACATCAAGACTAAGTAGCAGACATCTGTGAAGAAAACATTTGACTAGACTCTGGGATAATCAAACTCATGGGTTAGTCAAAATATCATAGAAATGATGATGTGTGATTAGGCACAAGACCCACTGATAAACATTAATTAGAATTCGGCCCATTTTTCTCTCCTTCGAACTTTGCTTTCCGTAGTCGTTGGAAGTTCGTAACTGATTGCCCTTCCTGACCCAACTGTACCACCTGTGACTAGAAATAAACAGCTGACGAAGGTCACCTTTCTAGGTAGACTTCACATACACAAAGGACACACCTGAATCTTTGGTAATGCCAATGGTCTTGAAAACTTTGGCTCCCCAAGACTGGTAAATCCTAGGACACGG